CTCCCTTTTAAATTCAAGAGGGATAGGAGTGAAATTACATATTAAAAAGATTAGTGTTTTAAACAACTGCTTTTTGAAAACTAACTCCCCAGCAGTCTTGTCTAAGAGCATGTATAAATATCAATTCCATACTGATTGATGCCTAGCAAAATTATGCAGAGATTCCCGAGTCCTGAGTCACTGGCAATAACCATGGGCAGGGGGTCTCTCATTCCTTACTGAGTTCTTTGGATGTTTATATAACTATTTAATCACTAGGTACAGGCCTCTCGGTAAAATTGTGAAACTATTGCCTACCACCATTTGCTTTACTTTTCTGCTCTTCTTACTCCTTTTCTGTTCTCTACAGATGGCAATAAAAAGCTGAAGGCTACTCCTCTCAGGGTCATTAGTTTTTTAAATAGGGGACTCAGATTTGATGTGTGTTAGGTGTATGGCAGGTACTGTGGTAGTTACTTTACATGTGTTATTACCACAGATATCACTCTGTATAGATGAAAAAGAATGGAGTAGAGAAGTGTGTTAAGTGAATGTCAGGGTCACAGAAAGTATCTACATTTGATCCCTACTATCTCCAGAGCCTATGCTCTTTGTTTTGCATGAAAACATTTAAGATCTTGAATAATTTGTGCTGAAAATTCAGGCTTTGTGCCAGTCCCAGAGGAAAAGTGCTTTTGGCTAAAAGCATGGCTCTGCCTGGTGCCCTTCGACTTAGATGAAATTGATCTAATTAGCTCTGCTAACTTACTGGTTTGGCATAGTTGCATCTTAAATCTTTTAATATAGACTTTTTCTAAGGAGACTTCGCTCTTCTTTTTGAAGTTATTCAATTAAATTTAATTTAGGGAATATTTATTAAATGCCTTTTCTTTGCCAGGCACTGTGATAGATGCTATAGTACAAAGATAGTTTATTTAGGGACATGATAAGTAATTATTTTTCTTTGAATGATAACTAGAGTCATACACAGGGACAAAAGAGGACTATGAGAAAATAATTGATTTCACTTGAGCAAAGTTGTCATAGGCTGCTATATTGGATCAGAACCTTGAAAGTCAAGAAGACATGAAAATAGGCTTGTTGAGAAGAAGGGTTCCATTAGGTGAGGGAGGGGAATGAGAAGGGAGAATGACAGGTTAAAATGACTAAAATTCATTATATAAATATATGAAACTGTCAAACAAAAAGTAAGCAATAATACACACACACATGCACATGTGGAAATGGATTATGGAAAGATAGCAAAGAAACACCGATAACAAAAGGTAAAACCTAAGTATTTTAATACAGTGTCCTTAAAGTTTAATATAGAAATATAAGATGAGATGAGAGAGAGAGCGAGGGAGAGAGAGAGAAGAGAGGAGAGAGAGAGAGAGAGAGAGAGAGAGAGAGAGAGAGAGAGAGAGAGAGAGAGAGAGAGATTTCAATTTCAGGTAATGGGAACAGCATTAACGTGTGTGAATGTGCCTGGAATATTTAAGGGATGACATTCAGGTTAAGAGTATAGACTCACAGTCACAGATTCTCCCCTTTCTTGCCTAACCCTAGTTGTGCCACAGGTCAGATCCTTCCATTATGAGGCAGACTCTCTTCCCATCACTGGAGCTGAGTTGATCCTGTGACATGTTTTGGTCATGGGCATTAGCAAATATGAAATAAGTGAGACTTGAAAAACACTTAGATCTGGGTCTTCTCTGCTGGGAACTCTGGGGCTATCTTGCAAATCATCCACGAAGATATATGGACACCCACAGGAGAATCTAGATCCTGCTCACAGTCTTAGGAACACTCATCAGGTGATGAGATCATCTTGAATCATCTAGTTAGCAGCTGGTTTACCATTTGACTGGGAACAATGGGAGAGTCCAGGGAGAATCAGTTGTTAGCCCAGATTTCTTCTGATCTGATCTGTCTGAGATGTTAGCCCAGGAGGAATGACCTGGTTGATTCACAGAATTCTGAACTAAATGAAATGTCATTTTAGCTGGTAGATTTGAGGTATCTGTTATGTATGAAACAAATACGTAGAAGGTCCAAGGACAGGTACTATGGGAAGAGTGAGCAGCTGAGGACACGGAAGACAGCATTCTGTTATCACTCTAAGGGGTTCAGACCTTCATTCTAACCAAGCTCCCCAAACTTCATTGATTCACTTTTATCTTCCTTTTTAAAAAAATTTTTAAAAATTATTGAATTTTTGTGTGTGTAATACAGAGAATCATCTTTATAACCCCTTCCCCTTTGACACCCTCCCATAGCACCCCCACTGGAGTTCATACATTCTGTCATTTGTGTTAATGCCTATCATGTAAAGTTAGTGTCCCCAGATGTTTCTCAGTGCAAGTTCATCCACTGGGATCTAGTCAGCCTATCTGTAGTCCCTCCTTTTAAAAAGATCAGCTCTTCCTCACCCAGCAGTAATCAGCTGTCAATAATTCTTCAACTAAGATTGGGGCCTGCTGTCCATTTCCACAGCTCTGTGCTGGGTTTTTGTCTGCTTAAGTTTGCATGGGTCTTGTGCATGTTGACACCGTTACTGTAGGTTTGTATGAGAAGGGTCCCAGGCGCCTGTGCGACTATTTCCGTAAGGTCATGCACCTTCTCTATCACAATGGTCCCTGAGCCCTGGGTGGATGGACCTCAATATAGGAGTTCTGTGCAAGGACTGACACTCTGCAGACTCTTATACTCTGTGCTTTGGCCATTTGTGACCTTTTGTGTTCCTAGCCCTCTGCTGCATGAGGGAGCTTCATTGATGAGAATTGAAAGATGCATTAATAATCTGTTCATCACTTGTTCTGTGTTCTGTGAGCCTTAGGTATAGAGGTTTCATCCTAGATGTGCCACTTAGACTTGGGCAGTTCACAGACAATCTCTGTGTGTAACCAGTTGTGGAACTCTGTAATTATCTTTGTCTCTTGAAAAAGAAGCTTCTTTGATGGGTAGTGGCTGGGATAGTTGTCTATAAATTTAAGAATCCACATGTTGCACATAATAAGAAATTACATTTGTCTAGAGATATGACAGCCTTGGAGTTTCTCTAAGACCTGTGACCTCTCCAGCTATGTGTATTTGGCTAGGTTTATAGTACCACACAGGAGTTGCCTCACACTGAGTGGACTTTAAGTAGGTAGCTGTTGGTTAACCCCATGTTGTTTGCTGTGCTGGTCATTGATGTGATTTTTAGGCCTTGAAGCTGGGGTTGGCCCATCAATTGATATTCTCCCTTATCAGCTTGTGCAGTGCTCTCCAAAGGTGTGAGAGCTGGCCTTCAGGGTAGATGGTTTCCAGGTCAATTCCAGCTCCGTTTCTACAAATCCTGTGTCCAAAGTATGTCCTGTCTTTAGCAACCATTAAGTTCTGGGAGGAAATCAAGGACTGTGGCAATAGCCTGTATAATTTTGGGAGACTCTGGGACTACCCTGGACAACAACTGAAAGACAGGATTCCCCTGTCTGGCACTGTTTCTTGTTAAGTAGCCTTCAGCTATACTCATGGACTCATGTAGAGATATTGATTCATGTGTTACTTTATCTTCTTAAAAATAATCTTCAAACTACCTAAAAGATTTTTTCTTTAAAATTTCCAATTTTTATACTGAAATTTATTTTCAAAACAAATGATATTAAGGTGGCCTCTCTCTGTGATGTGTTAACTCTGCTTTTCTAAACCTATTACATATGTAAACATTTTTAAAGCTGGTCTGTTTGCTATCTAAATAATCTTGCATGCTCTGAGTGGTACTTTCTAGAATTCCTTGCTTTAATCTCTAGGAATAAGGAGTATATATGGACAATAGTTTGAAGTGGAGAAGCTACTGCAGAGCCCCAGCTGGGATATGCTATGTAGTAGATCAAGAGGCAAGCTATATCCCTGAGGAAGAAGGGAAAGGATGTGGTGACAGACTTGATGTATGTGGGGTGGGAATGGGGAGTGTGAAAGAAAGGAAGGATTATAAACACAGCTGAATCAACCAGCTTAACTAACAGGGACCACTGAGTGGATACTGATCCTGTTAAGGAAAGGAAGAGAGAAAAAAATAAACATAACAGTTTTGATGTTATATTTGCTGAGTCTGAGAGAGTAGGTCACCTGAAAACAAGTATAATAAAAATTTGGATATGTGGATCTAGGCTCAACATATATTCTTCTTTTTCTTTTTTTTTTTTTTTTTGAGATAGGGTCTCCCTGTGTCCCAGATGGCCTTCATCTCACAGAGAGACATCTGCCTGCCTCTGCCTTCCAAGTGCTGGGATTAATGGCATATACCATCACACCTGGATCAAAATATTATTTTTAGTCATCAGCATATAGGTAGGTATTTAAGTCGTAGAATTGATTGTTACCTTCTCTAGAGAAAGTGTTAGCACAGAGATCTACAGCTTTCTTTCCTTCCATCTCTTAGTAAATACAACTTCTCCAGCTAGAAATGATGAGTGGGTCATGTACGTATAGAGTCCCAAATGGAGGTGGAGGGTGTCTGTAGGTTGAAGCCTCTTCCCTTTTTTGATTTAGGGTGAAATGAGGACAGGACTAAGGAAGAGGAATTACTGAAATGAGACAAAGCAATTTGAGAGGTAGATCTTTCTAGGAAGAGAAATTCTACAGAAGTGAAGGAGCTTTCCGATGAAGTGCGAGCTGCAGTGCTCACTTGTGCAGAGAAGAAATTCTATAGTTTGAAGATTGTTTTTTAGTCAGAATCAGCTCATCAAGATAGCACTTGGCATGCAGTAGGAATGCAGTGAAGATTGGGGCGAATGGTTTCTGTGGTGTGGCATTGTTTGAAATGGTCCATAAAGTCTTAAATAATCAATTCCAACAAGTTTTATAGTGGTACTACTTTGGGCTTGGAGATCAACGTGGGTTTAGCATTTTTCTTTCCCTGTCCATGGTCAGTGCTTTAGAAAACCACCTACTGGGTACCATCCTGATTGGAGTGCAAAGAAATGTTTAAGCTTGTTCTCAGGAAGTAACCCAGGCCACACTGACCCCCAGGCCTCTGGTCTCTGGCACCTGTGATTCCTGCAAGCAAGTCACTTGCCTTATGCTGCTTTGTGTAACTAGAAAGGAAATGCTTCACTGACAGAACTGGAATCTCATCAGCTTTTCTGTTTCTCAGGTAATTTTATATTTATACTAGCAGCTTTTTTGTTATTATTTTTTAAATAAGTGATTTTTCTACCTGGCTTCACCTGAGGTAAGAAAAGTTTTCAGGTTATGACAGTAAAGGCCGCTCAGATATATTTGATGTCCCTTGTATCTTGCAAGGAGAATTCTCTGCAGCACATGAGTTGGTTCATTTGACATCTGGCATTCATGGCTCCTGTGAGAGAGGCTTTCCCCTCAATGTGCCCTGAAAGCTTTCCTGCTGTGCCCCTTCTGTCCAAGTATAAACACATCACAGGAAATGAACACGTCAAGATGTGGCTTTCCAAGAGGGAATAGCAAAGTGCCTGGCCCTGCTCCACCTGGATTTTGAGGTCCAGCTTCAGGAAATTAGAGGAGCCACTGGGATGGAGTCTGCTGTCCTGCATCCTGGAAACCTTCATTCCTTTCCACTTTTCAACTCACGAAGTGGGAAATACTTTAAAATCTACAGCCTCCTCTAAGCTGTCCCACTGGGAAAAATTGCTTCAAGACCTTTAACATGTGAGAGAGGAGAAGGGTGTCTTTCATTGGAGACTCATCAGGGCAGCTGGGTTTACTTGTTTACAATTGTAAACATGACTGTATTGGCTGAGGTTAGGGACACATTTGAAAATAATTGAAACAGTGTACAGTTTAGACCTATAAATAATTAAATGGATTCATTTTGAGGACTTGTTTTAATATGCAGATATTAAAATGATGAAGGGAAATGGGCATGCAACAAGGAAGTTAAGACAGCAAAGTAAAAGGTAAAGGAAAGCCTTTCCCTTTGCTCCTGCTATGGTCTTTCCAGTTTTCTGCGCCAGCCTAATGATGCATTTTAAGGAAAGCCTGCATGCTCTCTGCTTCTCTCCCCAGACTCCTGCAAATACCAGCCCAGCCACTCTTTCAGATCCACTTCAAGGAAACATAGGTTTGAAAACTGTCCCCCACGGTTTTGTGTGAGCTGGCTGCCTTTCTGCAGCACACACTGGGTCGGATTGCTGGAGTCAGGAACCGAGAGGTGAGCAAGAGAACAGCACTTAGCAGAGTGAGGCAGGCGGGCCTGCGGGAAAGGATGTAGGTGAGCCAGAAAGTAATGGGGAAAATAGGGGGTCGTCGTTAATTCTGATGTGAGGAAATCTGAAAGGCTCTTCTGCATGCCAGGATATTTGAATATTTGGCAAACAGCTGGCTGGGCTCTGGGAGAGCGCCTCTTGATTTGCCTCGTCAGATGTTCAGAGATAAAACGAGGCAGCCCGCACGCCAGCACATAGCTCATAGCCTTGCAGTCAGTTTTGAATTTAGATTTGAATTGTGATATCAATGTCATGGTGGCACATGCTTTGAGAAAGTACTTACAGAGAATAATTGAAAGATTCAGTGCGAAGCTTCTGAAAGCCGTAATTTAAAGTTCCAGAGCCTCCACAGTACTCTCCCCATTAAAATTTAAAGTGACAGAAGCCCAATTATGGATGGTTATTTTCTTAAATAAAATCATATTTCTACCCCAAGTGAAAGATTCATTGCTGGCCACTAATCTCTGTCAGGAGACCCAATCTCGGTGGCGTCCAGGGTCGGCAGCCGAGCCCGTGAGTTTTATCCTGGAGACAATGGAGCGGCGCAGAGGGAAGCAAAGCTGGAAGGCCTCCACCAGGAGCCTGACTCGCGGGAGGCTGATTTGCATGATAATCACCATTATGGATCCTCTCCGGTGCCAGCCTCCACACTTAACCAAATGCACTATAACTTTAATAGCAGCTGGGAAGCAAGGACTGTAGCACGCATTTTGCAAAGCCTGAATGACGTCAAAAGCTGTTAGGAGAGGGCAGCAGTTGTAAAGCTAGCCGGGCAGAGGAACTTGGAGCCACAAGGACGTACCTTTAGAATCTGATAAAGGATGTAACCTTGGGGACTGTTGACACACATAGCGTCTCTCTTCTTTTAACTCCGGGAAATCTGTGTGCCCGAAGTCCTGTCTTTCTGAAGGACTTGCTTGGCCACGAAAACTATTTTGGAAATGAATCGATGGGAACGTTCCCTAGAACCATTTCCAGCGCAGAAAGTTTATTCACCCATATGAAAGTATGGAGCCATATTTTTAGACCATGAAATGTTTCACCAATTTATTTGGTCTGTTTGATTTTACTTTATGCTGTATTGTGACTCGGGGACTACAGTATGATAGCCAGAAATGAAATGAAAACTTCCAAAGGGCCAGTCAAATTTAAACCACTGTTATTCAGTTAAGTTTTTATTCCCCAAAGCTCTTGGAGACAAAGGGAGATGGAAACCAACTGATACTGTTACCTGATGTTGAGTGTTAAGGACAGCGTTTGCATATATATATAGGCCAATGCTTATCCAAACAATGTCTTGCAGACATCAAATCACAGGATTTCTAAAACGTTTACAGTTTGACAAAACATTTTAAGTAGGTTTTGGTTTTGCAGTTTTGTCATGCTGAGCATAGCCAGCGTTTTGGAATTTTCAGGATTTTGTTTTCTAGATTATGGTTTAGGATCTACCCACTTTTTTACAAAACTGATCCCATGAAACAAATTTTACTTTCTTCTCTTTTGCTCATTCTCAGTAAGAAGTCCCCACATTTACTTGTGCCAGTGAGTTGCCATTGTGTTTAGGTGCTTGCTGTAAATTGTGTGGTCTCTTCCATTTTTCATCTTTGCCGTGTTGTTGGCCTCTACTTAAAAGGAAAACATTTTTTTTCTTAAATTTCCCATCGTCTTCTTCCCCACCCTCAATTCTTCTGGACTGGCCTGTCTTCTCTTTTTTGCCTTCTTAATATTAACTCTTCAGTATTTGCAATCTGAGTTCTACTGCTGCCCTTGAGGGGAGTAGCTTAACCGTTTGTTAAATTTGGGATGAATATGTAGGCCAGCTCAACTAAATGTCACACTTTCTCCATAGGATATGGCTTTCCTACCAGGAGCACACATTATCCCTGAGGCTAGGGGCCCACATCACCTATCCCTGCCCTGGCTTACCAAAATGATTTTATTCTATTGTTTATGTAGTCAGATGTGTTTTTGCTTTCATAGTAAGATGCCTTTTTGCCCAGGCCTTGATAAAAGGTATATTCTGATCTCCAATCTATTTCATTTTTGTATTTTCTCTTGACTTTTCAGAACCCAGGTTAAAAAAAAAAAAGTGTCAAATTTTGGGACTTCCTGAAAAACCTTAGTATACAAGTAAAAAGTTCAAGTTCTTGCTTTCTAATCTTTCCATTCACCACTGTGTTAATGTTCTTTCTGATTTTCTATTCATATGAAAACATGCATATACACATATAGATATAGAAATAATAGAAAGATTTTTACGTGTATAGCAGAAATAAACACAACTATATGTTTGCCTTCTATGACAGATGTTACTTGTCATATTATCTCTCTATACACATGTGTATATATACACATAGTTATATGTTTTTGAAAAATAGGATTACATTATGTTTTATTCTGTATCTTCCTTTCACTGAATACAGTTTCATATTAGTAAACAGAAGTATACTATATTTAATGATTGCATTGTCCTATGTTTGAATGGTACAGAATTAACAACTCTTCAACTGCAGGTCATTTAGATCACTTGACATTTTTGCTATTGAAAATAATACTGCAGGGAACATGATATTTTATTTCTGTGAATTTGTGTTATTATGAGACTCCTCAATGTGGAATTTCTACAACTTTTGTAATATAACAAGCAAGAACTTGTAGGTTGGAAGAGGTTCTGAGAGCTCAGAGTTTGTCCTATACTCACTGGAAGGATCTTTTCCTCTTACGATGACTGAAAAATCCAGAGACTAAGACTCCATATTATTTATCTGAAATGCCTTCCAGTGGCCTGAAATAAAAGAAAACTGGAGTAGTTATGATACTGTGGCAAGTGAGAAGCAAAAGTGAAAGACTAAATCTTAGGGTAATATCTGTTTGATAAAGCAATCAGGTAACACAAGATGAGAATACCAAATCATGGAAGTCCCAGGTAGTTGGAATAATGCATACTACACAGTAGGAAAGTTTATACTTTTATACTTCATGTAGAGTAGCTATGGGAGATTAATCCATTCTACAAGTCCAGGCCAACAAATCTGTCACTCAGGATGGTCCTCAGCAAACTGAGCAAGTAAGCTTTGGCTTTCTATCACCAAGAAAGTGATATAAAATCTGCCCTGAGAGCCCAGCCATATATCATATGACCTGACCCTAGTTCTAGAGCTTATCCCATAGTGCCTCAGCCCTCAAAGAGAGGAGGGGCTGCCCTTCATCTGAATTGCTTTGCTTGCCTCTCAAGTCTGTTTTCCTTGCAGAGAGTCTTTGCAAACTGGACTAAAGATGAAGAAAATGTGGTATAACTTGACAGAGCTGTGGGATTTTGACTTCTTCAAGTGCCCTACTCAAAAAGCACATATGATTAATTTGGAACATTATCAATATTGTGATGGCCTATGGGGGAAAGACTTAGGTATTATGGATCTGGTTTTAGGATCAGTGTGACCAGGGCTGCAGATCCATGCTTGATAGACTGCCACATCTTGTACACTTTTACCATTCAGGGCACACATGGAAGCATGTCTGTATTAGAAACAAGTGCAGTACAAATAGCAAAGATGACCATGTTCAACAGCCAGGAATGATCACATAAGATACTCATTTATATAACACCACAGAAAGGCTCAGACAATCTGACTGTGTTATATAATTTCACTGCCTACCAAAGAGATTTGAAATGGACATTTAATTATGATTGCTGGTTTGCTATGGCAATATTCCTTAATATGAGCATTTGAATTAGGTTAATTTTCTTTAATTAATGAATAGAGCACTTAAACTTGTAGGCTTGAATTTGTTGTTGTGTAGTGGTAATTTTATATTCTGACTTTTTGCTGAAGTACAAATTGCAGGCACTCCTTTATCTGTTATAGTTTTGAGGTCACTGTTCTTCCTTCCTTCACCTTTGTGTGGCTTTTCAGATTGGCTAATGGAGATGGAGAAGGGCTAAGTGACTATTAAACTCTTTTCCATATACAGTAAAAGCCATTAAGATGGACCTCACTAAACTTGGAATTCATAAAAATGAAGGCAGGACTCAGGTTAAAGTTTACTTTTGTGTTGTGCCTGAACTAAAGCTTTGCTGAGCTAATAAATAGTACAAATAAAACTGCAGGGGGATGGTACCATTACTGTAAAAAGCAGACTTTCTTTAGAGAAAGACCGTGTAAGAGAAGTAATGACGTAATGGGCAGAATGGCGGAGTGCAAGGTCTAGGCCATTTACCAGCTACATGACCTTAGCTTCCCTGAGTATTTCTCCCAGTATGTAAAATGGAGATAGTTATCTACTTTATGGGGTGACTCTGGGGGTTAGGTTTAATGCATAGAAAGTGCCTGGTATGAAGCAGTTACTTCATAAATGACAGGTAATTATTGTCTCCCTGAAATAAGCAGTGAACTATTTCAAATACTTATTTTAAACTAAAGCACGCTTCCTTGACTAAGCAAGAATTTGTTAATGTCATCTGAGACTTTGCTTTACTATCAGTATTATCTTATTTGACTGAAGAGAAGCCGTAGCAGTTTGGAGTATTTATAATGAGCAGAGCTATGCAATCAGTCAGACTCAGGTTTGAAAATAGTTTTATGTGACATGGGGAGAGTTACTGATCATCACTTGAGTTTTTTTTCTAATTTATGAAAATTAGAGATCAGTCCAGTTTATTCTGTGTATGATGCCCAAGACTGGATAGTTCACAAAGAACAGAAATTTACCCTAAGTTTTGAAGATCGGAGAGTTTAAGATCTAGGTACTGGCATCTAATGAGGATCTTTTTGATGCTTCATCAAAAAGGAGAGGAGGGAAGTGAAGAGTGAGAGGGGGCTTCAGAGGAGATGGGAAAAGAGAGTCAAGCCCTCTATTAAAATAACATGAATTTTACCTACAATGACGATCTTCCTATACATGCACACTACTCATCCTTTTAAAGTCTCACCTTGACCACAATGAA